CAAATGAAAGCTCTCACTGCCAAACTAACAAGGTTAAAATATTAGCGACCATTGGCTTACCTAGAGAGAGATATTCAATTTTCACGGTACTGACGATTGAGTATATAGGAACCTTAGAATTATTTACATTAATTTTTTTATGCAATTAACTGAGTATTTCAATAGTAGGCTTCGAGAATCTTTCTGAGATTTATCTATAGTATTAAGATGACATTGGTTTTAATCTCTTCCAAAAATTAAATAGTATTACTATAGATTAACATCAGCTAGCATTTATCAAAATCATCAATAGTTTCGTTTTTATTTTAACTGAAAACAATAGATCACAATATGTTATTTTATTAAATGTACTATAGGTGTAGATGCAGACCTTCAATCAAATGATAGTAACGAAGAGTTTTTTCACACCAAGCACATTTTAATAATGTTCGTTCATTACAATTGTTAATTGAACAATACAGATCATAAAATTTGAAGCAAATGTCTTTTGGTTTTTCAATTTGTCCAATTCTTTCATTTTTTATTCGAGCTTGTATAAATCCATTTTTAATGAGATTTTTAAATTGTGGAGCTGATAATTGATTGTGAATAATAGAATGAATGTTGATGAAATATTGACGATCACTTATAGTCATTTCTATTTGATTGATATGAACATAATGCTCAATTTTTTCATGAATAAATCGCCATGAGCGAAATAAAGAAAGATCTTGTGGTTGAATATAACCGGTTGATCCTTTAGGAAAAATCAACAATTGACTGTCTTGATTAGGAAATACTGCTCTAAATTTTGTTAGATCAGCTTGAATTTTCCAAGAATCAAGAAATAGAAGAAATTTATTACCAACCAAAGGACGCAGAACTTCATTTAAAAAAGTGTGATGTTTTTCACCACTGTTTTTTCCTGATTTTGAAGCTCTTACTACAACATTTGGTGGTACAATTAAATCTTTTTGCACTCCTTTACCGAACTCATTTTCTTTCTCCTGAAGAATGAGAAAGAATTTATCTAATAAACGGCCATCAGCTGATGTGACAGGCTGTACTGTATAAGAGTGTGTTAAGTGATGTTTCTTTTTAACAACCACTTCTGTTGTTCGTTCACCAGTAAAAGAAAGTGTTCTTGGTGAGATATATTCTTGTTGAAATGAACAGTGATCACTGTTTAAAATTTGATGAGTAGTATACTTTGATATTATAGTTCTTTTACTTTCAATCCACTTTTGAGCATCTAAAATATTAATGTATATTACATTAAGACACATGAATTTATATTCGACAAACAAATTTATTGCCATCTAAACTGCAGATTTTACTATCTGATGTAGTTCGAGTAATAATTTTGTTATACCTTCTTGATGATATTCTGTTTTCCTTCTTGAAAATATTGAGGAATTGTTTGCTTGCCTTGAATGTGTCCCAATTCAATTCTTTTGCTTTTTGAATTGCATAAAGTTCAAGGTCAGTATCATGAACGGCTGCTTTTTCAATTGTTCTTTGCAGATAAAATTTGTTTAACATAAATTCTTTAATTTGTTTTAATTTTTCTATTCTTGTCCCATCATTTTCGATATATTCTCTAAATCTTGTAATATAATTCCTATGTTTGATCTTTTTAAAACGATGGTAAATAGTGGCAAATCTAGCATTTGGATGTTGATCAACCCATTCGATTATTTTTTCCATTTCATCTAATGAAAAAAGATTTCTCAGATCAGAATGTTCATTTTCATTGTAATCATCCATTTCATCGTCGCTCCTTGCTTCATTAATCGTTTCACCACTGCTGTCTTCTTCTTCTTCTTCAGATGTTTCATCATATTCATCTTCGAATTCGAGAGAATCATAAGTGTACAGCTCACTGAAGTAGCTACCTTAAAATGACTTCAAAACTTCGAATAATCGTTCTGCAATAAAAATTTCATCAGTAGTCATTGCAGAATTTCCATATCCAAATTCAGTTTGAGCCAAATCAAGAAGATGTTTAACGATGTTCAATAAATTCATGTTTTTATTTAAAGGAATAAAGCGTGTTACTTGGTAGATACAGGAAAGAGTGAAAGAGAATAATTCTTGGATAATATTTCTTTGTGATTTCTTAACACCAATTGCAAAGGAACGGTCAATAGATCACCAAGTGATGCATCAACGCACTTCAAATTCAAATATTATATGCATAAGTCATTTTTCAAATATGTTGCATAACTTTTCATTTCAACACTATTTAATTTTTGGAAGAGATTAAAACCAATGTCATCTTAATACTATAGATAAATCTCAAAAAGATTCTCGAAGCCTACTATTGAAATACTCAGTTAATTGCATAAAAAAATTAATGTAAATAATTCTAAGGTTCCTATATACTCAATCGTCAGTACCGTAAAAATTGAATATCTCTCTCTAGGTAAGCCAATGGTCGCTAATATTTTAACCTTGTTAGTTTGGCAGTGAGAGCTTTCATTTGATGCTAAAATATCAATTCTAGCTCGGTTACAATACAAGTACCTCCATTGTTAGTAAAGAGCATATTCATAGGTCATTCACTACAATTTAGCGATGCTATCGGTAAGTTATCAGTTGTTATACAAGAGGGACAGTTTTAAATAGCTCGAGGACTAATATATAACTCGTTACTTATCGACTATCTGCTACCATATAATTGGAATATCGATAAACTTTCAATGCTGATAGAAAGTGCGTATTCATTAACATTCGTGACGCTTGTTGTCGAGATGCCCAAAATTGGTCGTATACTATCTAATTCTGGTACTAGTTTCTGTCTATCAGCTATTAAAGTGAGTTTCTGGTAGTTCATNATTGAAAGGCGAGGCTTTAAATTTAAGCTTTTATCACAATCTGTATATATGTCTCATTGATATTTTAATTTGTTTCTTATAATCGCAATAAGTATATGGTCCATCTACTGGAACGATCTTTTATATCGCGTGACGCTAAATAGAAAGTTTAAGGAAATAAAAAATCATAAGAAATATCATCAAAATACCCGGCATATCCAATATTTTGGAGATTTCGATGTACAGAGAAATGATGATTCAAGTTTATTGAAGTCTAATAAAATACTTTCAACAAAGTTGCAAACAATTTTTTTCAAATCTTCATGCAAGGAGCAAAAAATAATATTTGAAAAAAAAAACACTTTTTCTTTTTCATGGGTATTATTTTTTTCCAATATAAAATGTTTTTCTTAATTGTTTATGATTGATTATACAGTATGAGTACAATTAAATGGACACGTGTGATGAATGCAAGCTTTACTTTCTCCTTGCGATTTTGATCGCATCATGTGATAAAGTGTAGAAAATGAATAAAATTTAAAGCAGACAAGATAACTCAGTTTGTAATTACTAAACTGTAGATATTCAATAACAAGTAATTTATACTAATTTTCATATCATTTTTTTCACTTTATTTTGATAGTTCTACTTTACTTTGCCAGAATCATGATATAAATATGGTATTGAAAAGGACAAACAGATATTTTTTATACGAAGTAAGCCCATCCCTATGACCATAATATGGCTGATAATTTTCACTGTTTTTAATTAAATGATCATATTCTCCTCAGTCTAATTCCTTTGTCCTATAATAGTTTTTCTTCCCGAACTTATTAGCTTCATACATCAGCTGCGACATATTACTAATTCTGCTGTTAAGCAATGTTTTTTTCTTCGGTGCATTCTTATTTGTAATATATGGAGTGATGCCTAGACGAAAGGGTGGGGAGAGCGTTGGTGCCATTATCAGTTTTCTAAAATTTCGTCGTTTTGCTTGACCATTTACAAAAGGTTTTAAGAAACTTTTTAAAAATTTTCGAAAAGTTCTTCGAAATTTCTTTTTTGAAAAAAATTTTTAACTATTCACCAACTCCTCTTCTCCAACTTTCTCCAGGATTTTCACTTCGAGACTTTCCGGGACATATACATTCAAATTTACATTTTTATATATTTTCTACTATGTTAGTGCGTCTTTTTCTTGAGAAAAACATTTTCAAATTTTGCTGTAGGAGACGAAAAAAGTGGGTCGTAATAGAAGCCCTGCGAACTCCGATTCTGGGGGAGGGGGGAAAGTATTTAAGACTCTCTTCCATAAGAAAGAATATTTAATTTGTATATACCTAATATCTCTAACATATGTATCCTTATGGAATATACTAAAGTCAATCGATATTTGATTATGGAATGATGATTGTTGTTATTATTCTACCGATAGACAATTCAGGGAATAGAACTACATTACATCGTTTAGAAATGGATCGATTTTTGTGGAAAGATGAAATTATCAGAATTAATTTTTCTTTTTTTTTCAGATTATACATTAAATAGCATCTCTATTAGATTAACTAGATTTATTTTGAAAATGTATCAGCAATCACCGTCATCATCACGTATGAATTGTTATTCTTCGTAGTTTTCTATAAGAATAAGAAATCATGATCGGAAATATTTAATGAAGAAGATAATTCTAATAAAAATAATTTTGTTTTTCATTCTAGCTAGTGATGCTTCAGCAAAAACACAAACTGCATTTCATAATCATCAGGCTAGATTGAGATTTAAAAATGGAACATCATGGAAGATACATGAAAAACTCGAGTATTCTAGTGAACAAACTGAAGAAAAAGTAATAAAAATAAAAATATCTGTTTTATAGTTACACTATCATATGAAATTTCTTTTATATCTCATAGCTTAGAAATATGTTTGAAAAATTACTTGAAGCATCCGATACACTTTCACCATCAGTTACGAAAGTACTTCAAAAAACTGGATTATCTGTTGGTAACGAATTATTCGAAACGAAACAAATAATAAATAAATTCAGTTTAATTTTATGTAGAAGAAAAACAACTTTTAAGATTAACAAATCCTGATCATATTCAAGTTGAGTCTAATTATCAAGGACCACGTAAGCGAGTACTTTGTTTAGAATCAATGAAATCATAATTAGTATTTATTTTCATAGATATCAAAAATTCAATTACAAGAAGCACATTAGTTGATTTGATTGAAGCTTTTCAAAAAGGACAAGTAAGTAAGATAAAAGTATTCAACATTATCAGTGAAGGAGTACGATATAAAACATGAGGAAATACTTAAAAGGTTGTCTGTCGATAGAGGATTTAGAAACCTATAGGTGTATATTGATATATTTAGATATTTAAGTCCAATAAAACGATTAGTGAATAGTATTAAATCTAGGAACAGATAATTATTATTGCGAAGAACTGTCAACATAACATAGCAGATGTATATGACGTTACCAAACTTATTGGTGATGATCTTTTTATGTTAATTATTATGCCAGATGGAAAATCTTCGGTTACATTATACGCTCTGAATAAGCGCTATCATTCTCTGATTAATGATATTAATATCCGTAAATTAGTAGAAAAATATGTTGACCTAGAAGAATTGTTTCTTAAAGAAATTGCCTAGGATATACCAAACATAGTGGTAGATGTGCTATAATTTCTTATAAAAAGCTGTAAGAAACTTTCAGTCTATATGATGTACTAGAAAAAAAAAAGAATGTTCTATTTTCTAGAACATTTGATCCTACTTCAACTAAGATCATAATAATAATTTTTCAATAAGGTTTGTCTATCATATGTGCCGGCAATACTCATGTCTATTTGATATTGTTTTTAATAACTTTTGATAGAAATAAGGTAGAGAGCTGTGGTTTTTCTTTTTTGCGACAGAGAACAGAAGGATGAATCATTTTTTTCATATGACTTTTTTAAAGATTTTCAGACGAAATATTTGAAATTAAACTTACGCATGACGCGTTTACAGTTGATTCTCATTGAACAGATGTGTATTGAAACCACCGATGAAATTTCTATAAAACTATTCAAGATTCAGATATTTCAAATGCATCATTCAGATGTTATGGATAACTATTTAATTCATACTTAGAAACTTGATTAAACAAAGATCAAACAATTTACTACAACAACGTGCAATACATGACTAAATGCATCTTCATTTTCTCTTTCGAATGATGAATGTCGCAGCTTTCTACATTGTTCCTCTCAAAAATTATTCAAATAATATCGAATAGACATTAGTTTTACTGGCACATATGATAGAAAAACAAATCTCATCGAAACTTCATTATTATAATATTAGTCGAAGTATGATCAAACCAAATAGACTGCAACTTTCTGGAAGTTTTTCACAAGGAATTACAGTACTTTTGCCACTACTTTGGGTATTCCCTAAGTATATTAAAAGATGTAGAG